CTTCAACTCCCAGAATTCCCCAGCCAGCATGACTGGCTGGGGAATTCTGGGAGCTGAAGTCCACTTGTCTTAAAGTTGCCAAGTTTGAAAAACACTGAACTAAAGCATCTTAAAATTCAATGCAACCTCATCAGAAGAGCAATTGTACTACAGGCTAGTATATTTTCAAAACACTTTGAGAAGCTGCTTCACATCTCATACATTGCATAAAGAACAATCTGGATAAAATATACATCTTTACCTGCTACTGGCACTAATTTTTAATTCCATAATTTGCATCCTTTTGACTATTGTGCTCGGTGTTACAACCCTTGTACCTAATGTACATACTGGCTTAAGACTTAATTGGATTTGTTTCCTTTTTACCATTCCATATTGAAACCTTGTTGGTTTTTGAATGTGCATAAAATAGAGCCCAAATAATCAAATAAGTGCTCCGTCCAGTGTTTAAAAGGATTGAACTCTGTTTCCTGGAGATAACAGCTTGTTGGTCTTGGACTGGTTGAAGGAGGGAGGTGTGATTTAAACTAAAATTTGTGCAATGGATTTGATAGCAAAAAAGGCTTTAATGCCATGTATGGCTTTGGGGTGGACACCCCAACTTACCGGTCTTTACCAGCATTAGAAAATCTTAAAATAAGGAGTAGGCAAAATAGTTTCTATCAGCGTCAATTGCTCACACTTTTCTTAATGCCTCCCACAAACTCTGCCCCTTGATGTTATCAAGTCTCAATGGAGATAAATCAAGAGTGAAGAAATTAAGGAATTTTAAAGAGGCAAAACACAGTAGGAGGGATTTGCATATTTTCAAATAATCAAAGGATGCAGCAATAGGTGTTTCTAGGGCAGAGATTCTTGCATTGTTCATATTATTGTACTGAATTCATTGGTAAACCAATGACTATTGACAAGTATAAAATATAAGAGATTTTTTTCTCATTTTTCTTTTCCTTCTTAGTTTGTACTTTTAATTTTTCTATTTTTTTTTTAAGATTAAAGATTGCTTTGTTAAAGATTATTTAAAAATGTAAAAGAAAAAAACGGGATTTGTGTTGGCCTTTGGGTGAGATGAGGGTTCACTGTATTGTGCAAATCCAGAAAAGGAGTTAATGCTGTAGCCAAGTTTAAGTATATGGGACAAACATAGCCGAAATGAAATATAAATATAAATGTGGTTGTGTATGTTGGGGGTTGGGGGTCTGTAGGCTTACCCTCTACCCTCAAGTCTTGGTGTTCTCACTGAAGCTACGCTTTCAAGCTCTAATCATTTCCTTTTTGATAAGGAGCTACATTTACTGTGATTTTTTAAAGAAAGAATAA